GCTTGGGTCAAGGATGCAGTAGAAGACTAGATGTGCCCATTCTAAACTTCTCTCTCTCTCTCTCTCTCTCTCATCTCCCCTCATCTTCTCTGCCTTTGCTATTTCAGAGCTAGCTTGCTGAAGGAATGGGAAGGGCATGGAGCAGAGACATGTCAGCTCAGTTGTCCAGGCTGAGCCCCAGAAACCTGAGAGGCCAGCCTGGCTGCAGAGGCAGTTCCACTCTGTCACATGGAGCTTCCATGAGTTGCAATTGACTTGAAAGTAAACAAGAGTGTTTATGGAATGCTGATTGCCAGGCCTTCCTTTCAGGACACCCCTGGTGGGTTCACAACACCAACCACTAGGAGAGCAGTTGTTTGTACACCGTACATACAGCCTCCCGACCTTTGTACACACGGCGACATGCAAACTGCTCCCAAAGAAGTCCTTGCAGACTCTTTCAGGGACCATGTAGGAAAGGCTCATCGTTGTTGTGTTATCGTAGAGGGTGGGAGCTGGATGTAACCCAGTGTTTGTCATTGGGGTTGTGCGCAGGTAAACAGAGTGCACCTTTCATTATAGCATTCTATCTTCTCCAGAAGACAAAAGCAAAGTACTACAAAGAAATGCTCAAAGGCATGAAATTAGAAAACTAAAAGAGAAGAACTGGCTCAACATTTCTCAAGGTAAAAGAATTGAAGAAAAACCCAAGACTCAAGTTGTAATATTGAGGGATTCTGTCTCTGCCAAAATATTAAATAGCACTGGATGCATAAAAAAAGATGAGAAATTTAATGACACCATTATTATAAAGAAAAACAAATTTAAAAAATAAAGAAAAACAAATAATAAGAAAAGTGCGTTTTCACACCAAACTATCTGATTTTGAAGACAACAGAAGAGGTCAGGGATGGGGGCGTGGGCAGGGCAAGTGGAGGGGCAGGAAATTATGGAGGGAGGGAGAAAGGCTGGAAGAGAAAAAGAAAGAGAGAACTATATTTGTGGGAGGTTGAAGGGGATATTATGGATTTCATTTGATGAAATAAAATGTGTGGTTTTTTGCAACTACATAGAATAGGCTTTTCTTGAAAAATGGAAATAAATAGTGAGTTGGTTAGTTTATTGTGACAACCTGGCTGATAAACACATGTGGGGTTAATTGAAGGG